GTGGGGCAAATCGCAGATCGCACAAATCGAAAAGGGCCTGGGGTGTGGCCTTGTCCTGTAATCATTGTGTCTGTTCGATTGCATTTGCTCCAATTAGACAGCACAGTTTGTGCTGTCTAATTGCTGTACTTTTGACTTCCGATGTACCAATCTTTTAATTGCATTACGAATGCAGATGATCGAATTCCTCAATAGCGTCACGGCATCACACATGAAGCCTGTGTGCGGTGCGAATTCATGTGTCAGGTTGCAGGCCAGATAGGCCATCAGTTGACTAGAAGACAGTACGGTGACTAAAAGTGTCCTCTTCTACACCACTGCGGCATACATGTGCGTCAAAACATAGTTGGTAACTGTGAAAACGCTGGTTTTATTTACCCTCAACATGTCCAAAAGACTGCAACTTGTGTGGAGTCCTGAGAAGATGAAAACATTCCGAATTCGAAATTTACGACAGCTCTGGAAATAACTTAAAGCAACAACCCACATGGCTGAAAACTCTCTGAAAAAAGACAGTTATTTATTTAGGGTTAGGAAACTGCTTTCTGAAAATCAACTCCGTTTTTATCATTGCCGTGTACAGGTGTTCCGCCAGGAACACGGTCAGGAGGCCCTGCCCTTGCAAAAAACGGTCAGGCGGAAGATTTCAACGACAAGTTGCCGAACCCTGCTATATCATATTTTGCGCTCTAAAGGAATTGGCTTGCTGTTCAGGTATTCTGAATATTTTACATTTCATGGAGTGTGACCCTTTTCTTCACGTCTGTATCATGGGACGCCATGCTGAGACTGATTGAACAGTGAGGAGATTTTCAGATGCGGACGTTCCATGTGAATGGAGTTTCAAATATTTATAGAGGGAGGTGTGTAAAAGACCGCTGCTAACTATGAAATTAAAATGAAAATGCAGTTAGGAAGCAGGTAAAAAATGCAAATTTCGTCCACTCTCAACATATTGTCAATAAAGGGTTTATAACTCAAATACCAACTCTTCAAAAATTACAATGACGTGACCACAGGTGTTTCGATACATTTGGTTTGGATGAAAACCCGGGAGCAATTCTGTTCCGGAGCCGGCCTGCGAGAAAGGCTGGGTGCAATTTTCAGGATGCAAGATATTTACTTGTCTAAGTCAGTTGGCGTACATATGTTTTCGGTAACTCATGCCGAGGTTGATATATTTACATGGGTAATGATCATTCTAATTGTAGACAGGATATAAATGCGTCTCAGGAGCAGGGTTAATCGGACTCCATGTTCCCACGCCGCCCGCATGACGGAGTCAGCGTGCTGAAG